AGGCGCCGAGCCTCTTCATTGGTTTTTAAGGATGTAAAGAAGACTTAAAACACAAGCATTTCAGAACTGCAAGTCCAGCACTTGTAATCTGTGTTTTTCATTTTATAAGTGGTCATTTCTTTTCTTTTCTTTTCTTTCTGAGACAGACTCCCACTATGTTGGCCTCTGTACAGTGCCCTGGTATCATAGTTTATAGCAACTTCCAACTCTTGGGCTTAAGTGATTCTCTTCCCTCAGCCTCCCAAGCAGCTGGGACTACTGGCGCCTGCCACAATGCCTGGCTATTTTTTGGTTGTAGTTGTCATTGTTGTTTAGCAGGCCTGGGCTGGGCTCGAACACACCAGCTTTGGTGTACGTGGCCAGCGCCATAACCACTGTGCTATAGGCACCGAGCCTATAAGTGGCCATTTCTAGCAATAGTTCTTTGAGTGTGTTCTTGGACTTCTCTGCTTCTTTTACATTATCAATCACAGTTTCATTTAAACAGATTTTGAGTCCAGTTTCCCTGGGTGTTATCACTTTGGTGCTCTGTGAGAGCTTCCTCAGGCTCGTAGGCCACCTTGCACCAGCCTGCCATGTGTATTCCTATAGAAGCCGGCTTCCTTTTATTGATTAGAAAAGAACTGAGTAAGCTGACTTTGTTAAATAAAAATGGCACATGCTGTGAGTGCTCCATAGATAGTAACTGAACAGAATCCCGTATGAAAGGGAAGATTCAGTGCTAGAGAGTCAGGACAACCATTTGAAATTGATCAGAATGTGTTGCTCTGAAATATGTTGAGTGGGTCTCCAATTTTTGTGGGTATAAGAATAACTGATAAGCTTACCTAAAAGGCAGGTTTCTTGGCCCCCATCTCCCCAAATTTCTAAGTTTTAAGTAGGCCCAGGAATCTGCATCGTTTAGATTTAAGTCTTAAATTGAAAAGGTGTTATATGCATAAAGAAGAAAGGGTCAGACCCACCCCGACATTGTCTTCCTTGGAGCCAACCACTGTTCATGGTTTCTTGTGTTTCCTCCTAGAAATGTATGTCTGTGTATGTATCAATGACCTTTTTCTTTTTTCTTTTGGTCAACAAAGCATCTAATTGGGAGCATATTAGACATATTGCTCTATCTTGCTTTTTTCTTTTTAAATTTTTGGGGGGGTTTAGAGATGAGGGTTTTGCTATATTAGCCAGGCTGGCCTCAAACTCTGGCCTCAAGTGATATTCCTGCCTCAGGAATATCAGCTTCTCCTCCCAGAGAAGCTGGGATTACATGCATGAGCTACCATTCCCCTGCACCAGGCATCTATCTTGCTTTTTTCTTTTAGAAATATAGCTTGAAGAGTATTTCCTAAATAGATTTGTCTTTAAAAACAAAAGAGCTGTTGGCTCAGCACCCTTTGCTCAGTGGTTAGGGCTCCAGCTACATACACCCAGACAGTCGGGTTCAAACCTGGCACAGGCCTGCTAAACAATGACAACTGTGACAAAAAAAATTGCCAGGTGTTGTCGCAGGCACCTGTAGTCCCAGCTACTTGGGAGGCTGAAGCAAGAGAATCACTTAAGCCCAAGAGTTTGAGGTTGCTGTGAGCTGTGATGCCACAGCACTTTACTGGGGGTAACATAGTGAGACTCTGTCTCAAGAAAAAAAAAAGTTGTGTAAATTCCACTACATGGTTATACCACATACCATAATTTAACAGTTCTTTATCGATGGATAAATTGTGTCCAGTCTTTTATGTAACAAACAATAAAGCAAAGAGTCCTTGTTTGTCTGTGTTCATATGCAGAAAAACGTTTCAGAAATTCACCTGCTGGATTAAAAGATGTGTGCATTTTAAATTTAACATGTGGACTCAGCACTTTTCACAATCACCCTCCATGATCTTCTCCTGGGTGGTTCTGTGACCAGACCTAGAGAAACACTATTTTGGGGGGAAGATAATCAACCAACAGCTACATTTTAGGAGTATCTCTTTAAGGCCAAAAAAAAAAGAGATTTTATACAAAAACTCACTGACCATGTTTAAAGAGGACAACATTTATTTAGTTGTATGTAAATAAAAATCATTTGGATACATGAGGGGAAACTATTAAGCACATGATGTAAATACACAATTAACAAATCTCTTCAAAGAACAATGAACAATAACATAAACAGGAAAGATTTGCTTAATTCTTTCTAGCATTCTCTATTATCATGTGGGCAACACGGATACTGCAAGTGACACTCACTGTATTTTTGTAATAGAGGAACTTCTACTGATTTGTGAGAAGTCACCGCTTCCAAAAATATAGTAAGTCAACAAACAACTGTACAAACTGAATGTGAGGGAGTCTAACTTGGATGTAATCAGAGCTGGGTTACTGGACATAAAGTTCATATTTGTGGTGTACAGCCAGCAGCGTGAACATGCAAATGCATTGGCTAGAGCACCATTCAAAATATTGAACACTGCCTCTTGTTAATTTGGTGTTGTCAGAAAATAAAAGTAATGAAGTGATGCCTTCAACTTTAAAATATACATGTTTTTCAGCCTACTCATCCTAATTTTGTGGTCAGTATACTATACATGTATATAGCATTGCCTCAGCTCTTAAGACTACTTTTATCAAACTAGAGAGCTGGATTCTTTAACAGCAGCCAAAGCTATCGTGTTAAGCAACAAGTGACTGTGTTGAACTAAATGGAGTATAACATGCAATTTATTATCTATAATACTTTACAGGCAATTCTCAACTCATTGGAGGTAATACTGAGTGTGTATATTAGCTATGCTTTTGTTTCTCCTTTCCATTAGCTGCCTTTTATTGTTTTGGTGGCCCTTTCAATGCACAACCCTTCCCACTAGACAGTAGAGCAGGGAATAATGGAGGTGAAACAAAAAGAAAACTTGTCCGTTGAATCCCTCATTAACAGCTTGGAAGGACTTGGCAGAGTCCAACTGGAACTGCTGGCTAAAATTAGGCTTGGGGTAACATTCTGTGACTCCAATTCCTAGTAGCACTCCTGCCTCTAATTACCAAGGATAATTGAGAATAGGCTGTACTTCACTTTAGATAAATTTGACCTAAGACACTGGCAATGATATTAAGGAATTTTTTTTTGTGTGCGTGATGAGCAAATTGTGAGTAGAAATTTAAATGGTCTTAAAATATGTGTAAACAAGTAAGGCAGCCAGAAATTTCATAATGATTCTGGGAAGAACATTCTGTAGTCTGAAAAATGTTTGGCATAGAAAAATAGACATCTGAGATAATGGAAGGGCCTTATTTGATGTCATGGATCACAGTTATCTTTTGTACGAAATCGATCAAGAGAACTATTTTTAAAACTATGAGGCTCTCAGGCAAGTGAATGATCTATTTAACAAGAGGCACTGGAGATGGGCTGTGTGTTACCACTCCTCCCACATCAGGTGCACAGGTGACATCTAGACATTCCATTTATTACCTTCACTACTTGATGGTCATATATCTATGTTTTATATTTTTTAAAATTTCAGGTTAACATGGAGGTCTACACAATTAGGTTCCTTTGCATTGGTAAGGTAAAGTCCAAGTTGTAGTTGTTTCCTTCACTCAGGAAGTGGGCCATATACCCGTGCATTGTTCCCTTCGGGTGGGAACTTGCTGCACCCTCTGCCCCGCCCCCCCTCTTGAATTTAACTGGGACTTTGAAGGAGCGTGTAGTTGTTAATCTACTGGTTTTGACTTAGCATTGAGCACATGTGGTGCTTGTTTTTCCATCCTTGTGATACCTAGGAGAGTGTTCTCTACATCAGTGGTCTCATATTTTGGATAGGAACATGCTTTACAAATGATTTAACCACCAACTTTACATGTTAATTAACAGTGATATGTAATATTTAGGGGAGAGGAGAAACCTAGAAAAATTGTTAGAAGACCCAGATCATGCTCATAATCTAAGACAGAGGCCAATGATATGAATAAAAGTGCTTGAATTATAGCCCTTGATTGAATGGTTGTGCACATGAATACATGTACAGCTTTCACTAAGGAAATCATTAATATTATTTATTAATTAAAGTTTTGCCTCAAGATTCAGTTTATAACTAGATAATACTGAACTAGGATTGATGGCAAATGCCTTCTCTTGGAGGAAGATTTAAAAATTATATGCCCTTCCTACAGAATTCTTTTATAAAAATATAAACTGTGTTTAATTATTATAGCCTGCCTTTGTTTTATATTGGTAGACCACTAGCTCCCTGTAATAATTAATTTCTGGAATAGAGTCATATTCTTGTGCTTGAAATCCATTTCTCCTAGAGCTTTCCAGAAACATAGACTTCAGTTTTGCCTTACAAAGAAGCAGTTGAGTTGGAAACCTTTTATTCCCTGTTTTTGCCTTAAAAGCTCTATCTAAAACCGTTGTCCCACTAGATGATGAAAGAATAGTTTTTATGAGGGCATTTCTACCAATCATTTACTACACCGTCTTTGAAGAACATTATCACCTCTAAAACAAATGTAGATCTTCTGTATTGCTTCTCCACAGAGGCAGTCCTGCTTATAAATGAGGCCAGAACAAGGACATATACAAATGACAATGCCAGCTACTGTACAAAGTGCTTTCCCACATTTTGTCATGTTAGGTGCCTCACAGCAACCATGTGAGGTAGGCGTGAGTATCACAATGAAATCTGACACGAAACATTCCAGGACACTAAACACGTGCACCATCCATGTATTTTCTTCTGTATTGTTCTATAATTCGAATACATGGTTGGATGAGCAAAAAGAGTATTCCTACCATGTAAAGCAAACCACATATATAGAAGGAAAAATCATATTTTTGTGTCATGTCGTAGATCCACCCTACAAAACAAACAAAAAAAGAACATATTTAGTGCAACATAGTTGATAGAACAAAAGTCAAGAACACAAGGCAGGTGTTTATTGCTACTGTACATATGTCTTAAAGAATTTACATGTCATTTAATGCCAATGTGTTTCACTTAGCTTTTTCCCGTATAAACCCGTGCTCCCAATGCCTCGGGATGGCTGTGATCCTCCTATAAGTCATTCAGGAACTTCTGAAGGTACTTGAGGCAGGACCCAGCTGACCCATGGGGAGAACCTTATGGTTAACTTGAAGGCTGACACAAGCCAAAATAGAAAAATGAATCCAATGATCTTTTTTCACAAATGCAAACATTAATCTTTTCCAAAATCTTCAAAACTCTTCTTAAGAAGTTTAAAGTGTGTCTCAAAAGAGGTCCAGCAGAAGGCAATAGAATTTTCATTCGTTCTGAATGAATGAATTTACCCATTTGAGGGCAAATATCTGTTCTAGAAAGAATAAAAATCTCTAGGTTTTATAAATTTCACATTTAAAGAAAAACAAACATTAAAAAAACTATGATCCTTTCTTTTAGCAAGTTAAAAGCTAGGAATTCTGGGCTCCGCACCTGTGGCTCAAGCAGCTAAGGTGCCAGCCACATATACCTAAGGTGGTGGGTTCAAATCCAGCCCGGGCCCGCCAAACAACAATGACGGCTGCAAGCAAAAAATAGCCAGGCGTTGTGGCGGGCCCCTATGGTCCCAGCTACTTGGGAGGCTGAGGTAGGAGACTCACTTGAGCCTAGGAGTTGGAGGTTGCTGTGAGCTGTCATGCCATGGCACTCTACCTAGGGCACAGCTTGAGGCTCTGTCTCAAAAAAAAAGAAAAAAAAAGCTAGGAATTCTGGATCTACTTTCAAAGTAAAGCAAGTTTTTCAATTTATTATTTCATATAGAAAAAAATAACAGACTCTTCAAAAGTGGCTCAGTAAAACTCTGTTATCATCTTTTCTTAATCTAAATGTAAATTAAAACAAGAAAGACAAAAAGAATTAAATATAGCCTAATAACAATGATTTGGTTTCAGAACTGAATCCCAACACTGACATATGAACAAAAATACACCCCACCTCGACTCCATGTTTCAGTGGTCGGCTGTGGAGGGCTGTGACAGAGTGAACAATTCACCTGCTGACGGTGCAGAGTGGGGTTGATCTATGGAGAGTACGTGATGGGACTGTCTACAATCTACAGTGTAAAAACATTCACAAATACCAATGAGGTTCTCCTATTCGACTCATCTCATATGACAGCTGACCATGTCATTTTAACAGCTAAATCCTCTATGATCAAGTGATTGAGCACAGAAATGATGGTTCTCAGTAGCAAGCCCTGACAGCTGAAACAAGTTCAACTATTATTTATTGTTGCTTAAAGTGAACCACAGAAATAGAACCAAATCCTACCTGACTGGAAAATTAACTTATCTCTAGTTCAGACTATTTATTTACTTTTTTGTTTGAGGTGGCTGACTTTAAGCTCCAGGCGTCTGTGACGTGGCCCCAGCTACCTTTCTCCCCTGCTGCCCCAGCTTACTCACCAGCACAGCCACACTGAAGAGTTTCAAGTGCATTTCTCTTGGTTCTCTCTGTCCATGTCCTGTTCCCCCTCCTGGTAGGGACAGTAATAAATTCTATCCCCATAGGGCACCCTAGAACCCCCTTCTCTCCACTCCATCCCTCTTCTTTACTCTGCAGAATATAGAAAATGTCTTCTGGCTTGGCGCCTGTGGCTCAAGCGGCTAAGGCGCCAGCCACATACACCTAAGGTGGCGGGTTCGAATCCCCAGCCCGGACCTGCCAAAAACAACAATGACGGCTGCAACCAAAAAAAAAAAAAAAAAAATAGCCGGGCGTTGTGGCGGGTGCCTGTGGTCCCAGCTACTTGGGAGGTAGAGGCAGGAGACTCGCTTGAGCCCAGGAGTTGGAGGTTGCTGTGAGCGTGATGCCATGGCACTCTACCCAGGGGGATAGCTTGAGGCTCCGTCTCAAAAAAAAAAAAAAAAAAAAAGAAAATGTCTTCTAAGAATTGCTATAGCCTTAAATTCATTAGTTTGTTTTATTAATCTTGTCTCTTTCCTCTAAAAGTAAAAGAATCCCCACATATCCCCAAACTTCAAAAGTAGCTCATACATCAATTTTTTAAAAAAAGTACACCCAACTTCACTGAACAATTTAATATGTACAAATTATAGGAGTTGTCCTCAATTTTCTGTTGAATCAGTCCCACAGGTTTCCTCCAATCTACTTTTAAGATTTATTCATAAATAACTTTAGATCTTTCCCCCTCCCTTTGCTGTCTGTTTTAATAATTTCTGCTATTTTGGACTCAAACCAAGACAGAGCAGAGCAGGTCAGGAGACACCAGTACTCTACCCGGGGTTTTGACCCTCAGCATGTGTTGACACAACCTTTTCCCACAAGTGGCCTTTCCCACTCATCCTTCACGGCCTCTCCCTCAAAGTCGGATCGTGGTTCCTCGACGTGGAATCCAGGAACCTTGGCAACCCTGACCCAGCCACCAATTCGAATCAAATCAACAGCTACAAAGTAAAACTTAGTTCCCTATTAAATTGCATTCTTTTTCATTTGAGTCTGTCAGATGAGAAATAATAGCTGTTTTTCTTATTAATTAAATAAGTACTCCCAGCTCTTGGTGAAAAACACTGCAAATTATTTTAAGGTGTTAGATTTTGTGGCCTGAAGGAGGTAATGTGTCTTATTCTCGTCAGCCAAATCTGAATGCCCAGGATTCCATACGTGAACCAGATCGAGATGTTCATGTTGCTTAGTGACATGGATGAAATGTCTGCTCCATATCTCTGACTGTGCATTACACTCATCTCCTAAGTGAAAATGTGTCATTGTCTACCATGGCAGAAAATTGTACCAAGTTTTTTTTAATGCCAGCAGAAACCTCTTTGAGAAATGGGAAAGGCACTTATTTCTGAACCATTTTTTAGAACAGGTAATGTGAACAGTAATTTTCCTTGCAGCAAACCCAGCTAAGTAATAATTTCCAGCCCATCTTGAATCTCTAATAAGAATTCAGTGTGATAATTTAGACACTCACATTGCCAGTCACTCTGACCCTATGGTGTACAAATTAATGACAGATTCCATTTCTGCACATAATATCTCTAAAGGGCCTATGAGAAAGGGTGGAGGAGCCACTCCTATGTCCTTGTAGCCTCAATGGGCATTTAACATCTCTAACAGGTTGCATTGGTTAACTGACCCAAACCACAATCCCAGTTCTTTTCTCTTTTCCTTCCTCTGATACACAGGCTGGAAAGCAAAGTACCCCAATTCACAGCTCTTCTTGAACTCTGGACTAGTATGTGACACAGCTCTGGCCAATCAGATGTAAGTGGAATTCTGCTGAGACTGAGCCTTTTCCCCCTACCTCCTCCCTGTTATAAACAATGTTGTAATGGCTGGTGCTACAGCATCTATTATGTGATCATGAGGTAACAAGAGGAACAGGCCAAAGAAGATCCCAAGACACTGTCTCAATATCAGCCAGTGCCTGGACTCTATGTTCCAGTTATATGACACAAGTCTGTTTAAACCATCATTGTTAAGGTGTTCTCTTATAACCAAATGTATCCCTACCTGATAGAAAACTCAGTACAATGAGATCAGTGAGCACTTTCAGCTCTTTCAACTGCCAAAACAGTTTGCTACACTGCTACAGTTACTGTTACCTAAAATGCTGCATCTATATCTCCATGTACAGGCAGACAACAGCAGCAGCCTGACCCAGGAAGAGCCCATTGGTAGCCACGGGGCTTCCTAAAGCAACTGTTGGGGCTTAAACCTTCAGTCGCTATATGCCATTTGTCAGCTGAATAGACAAAAACTCATGATTTCTTGACCTTTGGATTCCAACAGGGACTTATAAATGTTTGTTGGCAGATCCCTG